TCCTGCCTTAACTTGTATTGTAAACAGTTCTTTAGCATCTGGTATTTTCCCAGAAGCTGCTCACGAGGCTGTAGTTGTACCTATCATCAAGAAACTCAACTTAGATAAGGATACTTTACGTAACTACAGGCCTGTTAGTAATCTTTCACATGTTGCCAAACTGATAGAAAAGGTAGTAGCTATTCAACTCACAGACCACTTAAACGATAACAGCTTATATGATCCAATGCAATCAGCTTACAGGTCCAATTTCAGCACTGAAACAGCTCTTTTGAAGCTACAGAATGACGTTTTAACATTTTTTGATCAACGAAGGTCAGTTTTCTTAGTCTTATTAGACCTTAGTGCAGCTTTTGATACGGTCGATCATGTAATATTACTTAATCGTTTAGAGTCTCGTTTTCATATATCCGGTGTAGTTCTTAGTTGGATGAAGTCATACCTAACTGGATGGTCATCCAGGGTAAATATAGCTGGGGAATTATCTGACCCATGGGTATCTGATTTTGGAGTTCCTCAAGGGTCAGTTCTCGGACCGATCCTTTTTAGTTTATATATCACCCCAATATCTGATATTATTAATAAATATGGTTTACAGTATATTTGCTACGCTGATGATATTCAGTTATTTACTTCTTTTGACCCACGCTCTTTGGAAAACATTAACGAAACACTCCACCAAATCTCACTGTGCATTGCAGAGATCAGCACTTGGATGTCGTCGAACTATCTCCAACTTAATAATAACAAAACTGAATTCATGGCCTTCTGTTCTTCCGCTCACCATCTTCAATATATATCAGATGTACAGCTTAAAGTAAATAATCAATTCATTCCTCTCTCTCCTAAAATTACAGATCTTGGTGTATGCATCGATAATATGTTCAAATTGACCTCTCATGTAAACCAAGTAGTCCGTAATAGTAATTTTCATCTCCGCAATTTATGGAGGATTCGCAGATTTATTGATTTAAAGACATGTCACCATGCAGTCCGAGCTCTTATTATTTCTAGATTGGATTACTGCAATAGTCTTTATACTGTTTTATCTGCTAAAGATAGAAGGAAACTTGAAACTGTCCAGAATCGTGCCGCTAGATTAATTTTTGGCCTTGGGTCAAGAACTCATACTTCACCTTTACTTAAGGAGCTCCACTGGTTACCTCTTCACCAACGTGTTCTGTTTAAATTCTGTTTGTATGCTTTTAAAATACTCAATCATCTGGCACCTGAATATCTTAATGACACCCTCCAAATATATACACCAACTCGTAATCTTCGTTCAGCAACCGACACATGTAAACTTAACATTCCCAAATCTAGACTCTCAGTAGCTGAAAAACGCTTTGCAGTAGCTGCATCAAAGACATGGAACAGCATCCCTCTTTCCATAAGGAAAATTACCTGTCTTGCCACCTTCAAAAGATCCCTCAAAACTCACCTTTTCCCCCAATGATCTATGTGATATACTTCCTGTACTGTACTTTCTTGTCCTCTTTACATATATTTGTATTTGTAAGCGCTATGGTACTTATTGTTTTTAGCGCTCCTAAATATTCGATATTATTATTATTATTATTAGGATAATTGTCGTTTCACATATTTTTGTAATTGTTTGATCAATGTTTTTCCACGACAAATTTTTATTACAGTCATATACATATATATTTCATGATTTCATTTCTTTATTGCAACAAGATCCTGAGGTTACATTTCAAATAAAAAATGAGAATATATAATAATACGTAGAGTTGAAATCTATGAAATTAAAGAAAAATAATGAAAAATATCGATGATGCAATTCTTTGCTAGCCGAATATTTCAAATGCTTGGCGATGGAAAGAAAATTACAAGCAAAATATTCAATTCAAGATAATATGAAAGAAATCAATGACAAAAGAATCACCGACGAAGAGTTCTGTCTTTCAGTAAATCACAATATGTTTGAGTTCAATATACCCATAAATCAGCGTTTATCTTTATTATTAACACCGTAAATGTATTGAGGACTGAGCTCTTCATTGATGCAAAGTCTGAACCAATCACGTTGTTACGTAATCTTTACAACCACGCCCCTTATTTTTAAGCTTTTTCCTTATGGCTTCATCTTATGCCTTCTTTATTTCTCTCATTCTTGCTTTCTTCCTTCTATCTTTCATTCTTTCGATATTTATTTATTTATTTATTTCTTCTTCTTCTTCTTCTTTTTCGGTTGTTTGTTTTTTTTTTTCTTTCTTTATTCATAATGATTAATCTATGTATCTATCTATTCATCTGTTTACCTACTGCAGTGACAATGATCTACGGTAATTTACTTTAAAGAGTACACACGTGTCATGAGAGTGCCGTAAACAATACAAAATTTATTTTTAAAACATATTGACATGCAAATAATACATGGGTAAAAAACAATGAATAGAAAAGAATATTGAAAGTAAAAACAACTGTTTTAAATAAAACATAATATAACTGATACACAGTTAAAAGTAAAATAACTGATTTACAATAAATTAAAAACAATCGATTCACACTAATTGTAAAATAACTGATAAAGTTGTCAAAAAGCCTCTTCTCCTTTATTTCTCTACGAAATTAATCATTGTTGTATGCAAACAGGTCACATAATATTCTTTTGTTTTCTGTTTATTGACGTTTGGGGGACCGGGGGGAATGTGTTTTAAGAGCCTTGAGTTTTATTGATAAAGGCTGAGATTTAATTCATCAAATCAAACCGCACACAACATTAACATCTTCAACCAATCTACCAAAGTTCACTACCTATACTCCCTTTAATATTGACGGAAGTAATCTATAAATAGAACATGTAATACACTCTATGTGGGCAGCCATGAACAATATTAACCCAGAGCATTTGAAGACTACACTGCGCTAGATCCGGGACTTCCCCCTCGATCCATACCCACTCACCTCCGAAATTAGATTTTGGTTGAGATGAAAATATTCAGGAAAACAATAACAAAATCTTGGCGCAAAATACCCATCCTGTTTATTCAAATCTAAGTTTAAACAATCAATGATATATAAGGATTGATTGATTGAGGGTTTATCATTGCAAGAACGGTAGTCGGTTGGGCATCAGAAGTATAAGAGAAATCAAGTCTCAATATCACCGTTTTCAAAATTATACAAGTACCTGAAGAAGTAATACTTAATGGTCGAGCTGTGAGAAAGTGTCATTGAAGTGATTCTTAAGATTTGTTTATAGGAAAGGAGCGGAGTTTAGTCTTGCGAATCCACTGAGATTTGTGCAAAACCAGCGTAGAGAATTTTCATCGAAAGAGTGTTTTCTAGTCAGTCAAATAAAAATGGTACGTTTATTTATTTTTAATGATTAAACAAATTAATTGCTCTTTTTCTCCATTTATCTACTTTCTATCCCTATATCACCATACATGTATATGTTTGATTTTACTCTGCTTTTGTATATTCTTTAATGTTTTTTTTTTAAATTTATTTATTCCTTACTCCTAAGGACATTTTGGAATAATGATAACAGCTTTTTAGCTTTCTTTTTAGGTTTGTTGTTAATGTGGTTGTTATTGGGAGGAGGGGGGGGGGGGTAATTAATATGAGTTATCAATAATTATTCATCTGTTTTTATCTGTTAGTAGTTACATCTAATCGATTTAAACTGATTTTTTTTTTGTCCTTCATGTTGTTTGTTTTGTTGGTTTTTACCTTATCTGCTTGTACTTTCATGATATTTCAGAAGATTCCTTCGCGGTCGCAATGCCATTGCCACTCATTAATGGTTGGCAGTGTACACTCTTCATCAGTAACTGAAGAATATGAATGCATGGCCATTTCATCTTAAACAAAAACTGTACAATGACTTGCAGCGCCCCTCCCCCTCATTAAAAAAAACAGTTGGCTACGCCACTGCCAGATAATTATCTTCTGCATCACGCAATAGATTCGAAGTCCTGTTCCAATGACGGCATACACTTACTCAATCTTCACTGGTTGCTATCTTAAGATCTATCTTTGGTTGAATCTAAGAGGAATTTCCTTGGATAAATATGGAAATTGATGCCAATTAAAAATAAAAATGTTCATATATATATCATGTTGGTATTAAATTACCGGAAAAGTGCTGAACACTTAGTGATGTTATATTTGACCGAAACTGACATTAGCTAATTAAATGTTTCCTTTTCCCGTCTAGAGATCGTTGCGTAAACTTCTCCAATTCACGCAATGCTCAAAAAATTGATAAATTTCCTTTTCCTTTACAGTACCAAGAATAATGTAATTAAGATCCGAAAATGACCTCATCAGAAAATTACCTCTTAAGTTTTATTAATAGTTATGTTTATATTATTTTGTGCATGTTTAAATTAATGCTTTATTTAAGCAGGATTTGAAGACCTATTCGGGACGGAGATATCGTTATTCTCTGTTTGTATGTTTTTTCTTCTTCTCACATTGTTTTGTTTTACTATTGGCGCTTTTAAAAAAAAAAAATTTTAACTGATTTTATGCTAATTTCTCACTTTTTTCATATTATGTTCTTTTTTAGAAAATGTATCAACCGTCCGACCTTGTCTTACTTATTCTCACCGCGATGACGTCACAATGCCTAGCTTTCTCTGTTGGAAGACACAATTCTGATGACAAGGTAGTCTCCGTCATCCAGTCGTCACTACCAAACCATAAAACAGATGTAAACAGTAACACCGATTCATTAGGCCAGGCGTTTTTCGTGAACACGAAAGAAATCGACGCATCAGGACAAGGACTCTCCTTTGGTGGGGATCAGGAGGGAAACGAAATCTCGTCTGAAAGTGACCTTTATGATGAGGAAATAAAGGAAGCGGTCTACCTCACAGTGAAACCTAACTCAAAGAATCCTGACATAGACACCAGCTCCGGAAACACTCTATCAATCACTTCCTCAAGAATTGAACTAAACACGGCATTTACTTTGGATGCCATGTCCGTTGAGAGCGCTACAACAGTTCCTATTACCAGTGGTAGTGGAGAAAATGAACTCGTCGAGGTTGCAAGCAGAATTCATTTTACGACTCAATCATCTGATGGCGCTACTGGTTCAATGCGCATCAAGAGAAACGCTGACGCACCGAACCTTGATCAGGCGGCGACTGAAGCCTGCAGGGACCCGTCAGAGGGAGAGCTTTATGAGATGCTGCACGGCCAAACTATCGCGGGTAGTGGCACGGAGATCCAGCATTCCTATCTTAACAACACATGCCCTAGGTCGCTCTTGGAACGCAATCAGGAGCCTCTCGAGTCCAGAGCGCTATGTCCTTTTGTCATGGAGACAGATACAGACGTAGAGAGGTAAGACCTTTTTAGCTTTAAAGCCTTGATCGTTCAGCTATGACGCAGCTAACCGCAGCCATATCCAAATAGATTTCCAAAAAAGAGGGGGAAAAGGGGCAAAACAATTATTATGAGAGACTAGATGGCACCGGAATTAAATATAAATCATATTTCGAATCGTTTGTCAGTTTGTTCCGTAACCTGTTAAAGGTAATACAAAGTTTTAGTATGGGGTCATAAATTTGGTTCAAATGAACATATTGGAAGCATATGCGACCCTACAATATTCAGTGATCGTTGTCACGTTTGAAATCGATTCCTAAGTTATAAAATTATAAATAATGAACTCTTTATGTTGTATAGCTCCCTCTCAAGGTCAAGATATTAATTAGGCTATAAAACAATGTTTCTTGACTAAAATCGACCGATTAGCTATTCCTGTTTGGAAATTTTATATCACAACTACATATTCTGAAATTGTCATGGTCGCAGCTACCATTGTACGGCCGTACGGCGCTATTTTAAATTTATCAAAATTTACCAGGAGCACCGGTAAATTTTTATATTCAATTTTTCTCGAAAGCAGAAGTGTTTTAGGGGCTAAATTTCCTAGTGCTTATATTACATACACAGGGGCATCCAAATATATCAACATTGAAAATAATCACCACCATCCAATTTTTAAACATTCCCAAAACTTTGTATTACCTTTAACGGTCATTTATATGGGTTCAAACTCAACACTTCGGTTGCTCGTTTGCTACACGTGCAATTTTGCACTTAACCCTAGCTACCCACCAATTGACTGAGGGACTGTGTTGTGCTACACACTAGCTTTGCCAAAATACCCATCACTGGTCTTGATAAGCTCCTTGACCCACCTTTCTAACACCTGTACTGAATAATATTAGAGTAGAAATAGTTAACAAATCATCTTGAAGTCCTTGGTATATGCATCCTATGATAAATATAATGTAGCACCGGAAGATTGTTTGCTGAAGGATGGAATGAGTTAACGTTGTTACTTTTATTTTCTTCATCTCTCAGATACCCACAAGACATACTTTCCGCCAGATGCGCGTGCCGTGATTGTATTAACCCTTACAACAATGGCTTCATTACAAACCCAGGCGTTGACTGCATGCCAGTTGTACGCGAGATGGAGACGCTTAGACGCGGACAATGTGTGGGTGGTGTTTACCGGTAAGTCCGCAATCAGTAGTAAAAGTTGCTTATCTGTAAGGCTGCATTTGAGAATGATGTTACTAAAAGTTATTTCCAGTTAGAAATTGGGGAGGGTGCGCGCGTGTGTGTAATGGGGTTTTAATAGACGTGTATCAATCAGATATGATTATTATATGATTATATGATTACGTATATATTATACGTCTAGAGAACGACCTTTAATGTCACCATCCAAAAGATGTGACTCAGTTTCGAACCGGGATGGCCTGAGCCAGTGTATAGGCGAAGACAGACCAAGTGAACATGCCGCTAGTCATGGCACATCACACTCGACAAAGTCGGTAGTTAACATGTATCAAGGGGCACTATAAGAACACAAAACGAAAATTCTAAAATAAATCCTTTTAAAAATCTTCAGATTTAAATGATATTACTTTTGAGGTCCTTTTAATCTCTGCAACGAAAATTAATTAAATTCTTTAAAGAAATTATATTCTGACGAGCAATGTTTTCATCACAACTTGTACACGTCTTTTTGCAACATTCAAATGTATTTTTTCCCTCTCTATTCTGTAGTTATGAGAAGCAGAGAACCAAAGTTCCAGTGGCTTGTGTATGTGCCAGGAGGCTTGCAGTATGAGGGTTTCAACTTTGAAACAAGAGGACCAAATACCTAAGTAAGAATTGTGACTTCATCTTCTCTACATTTCATTTCAAGTGAGGGCGTCCTTTCATTCAGTACTATTACGTGTGCCGTAGGTTATCTTTGCCTTTGTTATTTATTGACTATTTAAAACGATAGTGTATTGAGAGAGATAGTTGTGACACGCGAATTTAAACGTATTTACGAGATGGGTCATATGTTAAATAATGGAGCTCCAAAAAGCTCCCTTCCGGGTACAATTTGTAAGAAAGGAAACTATTTGTGTTTTTTATGAAATGCCTGACCAATCAGTAGCAACTTCCGGTGACGTAACTATCTCTCTCAAACAGATATGTTTAAAAGTATTTACAAATCCCTTTTAATATATATGATTATGATATACCTGTTCAAAATGATTTCATGTGTATGTACCTCATCGTCTATGTGATAGTGTGATTATGAATCTATTTATCTATTTATCTATTTATGCGTGTGTGAGTATTTATTTATGTGATATTTACCTCTGTATTTAAAAGATGTTGACGTGAGTATTTGAACTGTTCCTTCCATAAAAGCTTCGTTGAAGGAAGTTGATAGTGAATTCGGTTCCTGAGTTTTGGGGCTATACTCCAGGAATAACAAATTATGTCAAATATTTGTTTCCACATATTCATATGACACTATTTATGTCTCTGTACTGAGATCTAAGTGCCAGATATAGTTGGGAATTTTGCTGCTGACTATACAGAAATTGCAAATGTTTAATCTTTTAGAGATTTTGAAACATATTTATATATTTATTCCTGTGTATCAATATCTGTGTTTATAAAATCATTTCTATGAAATGACAAATTGTGCTATCTACTATGTAATGTTCTAGTTCTTTTATGAACTCACATGTAAACCAAAATGATTAATGTTAATCATAAAACATCATAAGCGCTTATAGTGCCTATTTAACGTTTTTGACATATTATGCTATCTACTATGTTATGTTCTTGTTCTATAATGAACCGACATGTAAAACAAAATGATTACTTGTTAATCATAAAACATCATAAGCACTTATAGTGCCTATTTAATGTATGTATCTTAGGAAGGCTCTTTATTCAGGTGAAAAGTAACCCGGTTAATCTATAAAACATAAATGTCTCCCGGTCTAGAATTTGTGCGAACTTTTGAAGAAAATTACAAAAAGGGATGAGAGCATTAGGAAATTTTGATTTGGGCTACGAAACCATCTTATTTCGTTTCTCATGAAATAAATATATATAAATTATATATATATATATATATTTTAAATATACATGTATAATGAGTTTGAATCTTACTAGTATTATACGTTATAGAGGGCGAGGGTAACAACAAAATTAATTATTAATAACTGGGAAATTATTAATAATTTGGTATTTACCTATTTCGATTAAACCTGATATTTGTATTCACTCTCTCATGTGGTAATGATAATCAAAAAGAAAGTTCATAGCAATTAAAAACCTGGCTACTTTTTACCTGAATGAAGGGCTCCCTCTTGCGGAATTGGGTGTAACCCTATCGACTTTATTGCTTCCTATGGAAGATTATTGCTGTTGTTTGTGTTACACGTAGTGAACATGCAGGTATAATGCATGTTCATATAATTTCAATGTCGTATTTATGTTTCCTTCATAATTATTTAATAAAGAGCCGTTTATTAGGTTGCTTTATTTTTCAGTAGACGATTATGGATATATACATGTAATCATATGGATAAATTCATGTAGTCATTAGTAGACCATTATGGATATATACATGTAGTCCTATGTATCAGTAGACCATTATACAGTTAGTCCTATGTATCGGTAGACCATTATACATATATCCGTGTAGTTGAATCATTCGTATTACAGTATTCAGCAACAATCGTTGTAAAGTACATATTTTTGAAAGTATTGTCGATAAGATCTAGATGCAGATAACTATATAAAGGAAGTTGTATCTGCTAATTTTTTTGTAATTTTCAATTGTGTCATAACCATTGCTTTGTTTACTGCTTGAATCACGTAATAAAAAGCTCACATACCTTGATATTTAATAAACATATATCATGTTCTCCTTATAAAGGAAGTATCATTTTTATTCAACAACAAACCTTGTTAAGTACATATTTATTTTTAATGTTGTGGATAGGATCTAGAGACAGAGACTATAGCAAGTAAGTTGTGTCTGTTAATTATCGTAATTTTCTAACGTGATATATTTATTGCTATTTTTACTGCTTGATTCGCGTTATAGAATGCTAACATACCTTGATATTTAATAAACTTATATGACCTTCTAAAATTATATGGCCGTCTCTGTTTTTCAGCAAAATGTTAAAATGAATCTAATATTCAGTCCACGTAATTGTTAAATTGATATTAATGTACTTGGTGATTTGTGAGGATGTGTGTATGTGTGTGTTGGTAGGTTAAATGAAGGTGTGTGCGGGCGTCGGTTGGTGTTGTTTGTGTGGGTGCGTACGTGAGTATGCGTGTGGTTGGAGTAGATGTATAGTTCTATGATAACTTCCGCCACCGGAAGTTGCACTCGTTCAACGCCAAATTCATTTAACACAGAACTTGTTCCCTCTCATTAAAAAAATATATGTCCGATGGCACTGTTTGGTTCTCCATAAATCGACCTTTGACACAGCTATGCCCCTCCCCATTTAGCTTATGGGGTAAGCTTGTGGGTGTGAGGGGTGGGGTGCATTATATGCTATTTAAGGGGAATTATGTGTGCGTGTGTGTTCGATGAGTGAGGGTGTGGGTAAGGCTAGGTGTAGAGAAGAAAAGGAGAGTGAAACATTTGCATCATTACTGGTCATGCAGCGGAGAAATATAAGAGAGTCGACTTCCCCTACTACCATTATGCCCTTATTGTTTTTGCGAATGATAATAATCATAGTAATAATGATAACGATACTAACCAAAAATTATATTAAATAACATCAATGAACAAAGTAATGATAAGATAAAGGGAATGATAATAATGACACAAATATATGGATAATAATAATAATAATAACAATAGTAATAATAATGATTATAATAAATAATACTGTTGTCACTGAATTCATTAGTTTCGATTTGGATGTTTGTAAATTTTGTAATCATGTTGTAGTGCCTCCACGGAGAACAGTTTTTAACTACTGATGGAGCCAACCTACTAAAAAAGATTAATGCATACAAACAAAAAATTAATAATCGTTTTATTTACTAAAGGAATCTTCCTCAGCTTCAAATCTGTTTTTCCCCAGGGACCTGCAATCATTGTTATCCCAGCGATTGTCTGGTATCTATTTACACCTGTGGGTGTAGAAGGGCAACTGTGGGTTATTGCCTTGTCAAATTACGTTAGTGCTGGATTGGTATTCGAACCCTCAATCCTTGGATCAAGAGTCAAATGAATGAACTACTATACCACCACACCTCCACAATATCCACAATGTCATTAACAACAACAATAACAAGAACACCATCAAGGGAGAAAAGAAGAAACTGAAGAGAGTCATGAGGGAGAAGGAGGCGAAGAAAAAAATGAGTGGAGGATGAGGAAGAAGAAGAGGATGAGGAAGGGGAGGAAATGAAGAAGAAGAAGAATATAAAAGGAAGAAGGAGATGGAGGGGGAGGAGGAGGAGGATCGAAAAGAACAAGAAGTAAGTGAAAATCTGGAGGAGAAGAGGAAGATGAAAAAGAACATATAACAGAAAACGAAGAAAGAGATTACAAGATGGTCAAAGGTAGTTAATATAAGATCATAATAAAATATCCAAAAAAAAATCATAATTCTGTTCGTTTGTTTGCTTGTTTTCTTTGTTAGTTTCTCACAGCGCAAAGTCTAGATTGAATAATTATTCGATTAATTCTGTTATGTTTAGGGAGTCCTTTCTTTTTTCTTCTTTTTTAAGTCTTACTAAAGTGTAAATGTAATGCTTCCTGGGAGAAATTTCAATAGTTTAAACATATTTGTGATTCCAAGATTTTTTTCTGACTTGTTTTCAATTACAGATCGATCAATCGATCTTATTTACTGGGTGTAAGCCATAAATATGTTTAAACAGACTAAAGTGATCATCTATTTAACGTATTGGACCTGGACACAAAATATAGGTTATTCATTGTAGTCGTTACTGATTTCAAATGACTCACGATTATAACCTTTCTTACACTGTAAGAAGGGAAGGGATAATATAAATAGCACCACCGCAAGTTTATTATTATTTCCTTTTTATTTTTTGATTCATTTAGACTGGTCACTATTACATGTATATCCGTTCTCCATTATTACCACAAATACTTTACTGGGGCCTACAGCTTTACAAGCTTGCTTTCATGTAGGTCCCATCATATTTCTCTTAGTTAAATCAGTAATTCACATTGACCACTTATCTTTGTTATTATTATGTATTATTGAAGAAAAAAAAAAAATTTTGTACTTTATTTGAAATGTACATGTATATGTTTGTTCATGAGAAATATGAAAATAAATGAAACGAAACGAAACGAAGTAATACGGGAAATACAAATTTGATAGCAAAACAAAAAAATGTTAGGCTCAAGTTGAGTTGAGTTGAGTTTATTTTATTTATACACGGTAAAAGCCCGAAACAGTTCGCAGACTGGTTTCAATCAGGGCCGTGTCGATAAAAACCAACATAATCATGACATATAAACAAAAGTAATATAACACTGATAGATTCACAACCATAACACGACAATAATAGGAAATAAGCTAAAAACACTTTACTTAATTAAAACTATATTGGTAGACCCAAAAGATAAACAATTGAATAAGTTACATATATGATCATCATAATCTGTTTGCATATTTATATATATAAATTAAAAACAAAAAGAAGTTTAACAAGATTATAAATAAGTTAAGAACATATTATGTATTCATGTTCAATATTAAATAATCAAACTTTTAAACAATAAACAAAAGAAAACACACATAATGTAGAATGTGTAATAATTATGAACTTAAGACAAATGCGTATTCCATATTAAGTAGAAGTAAAATGAAGTATGGAATAATAATAAATACTTAAGAGCATTATGAATATGGATCAGTTAAATACTACATATATAATTGTTTTTGTTTTTTAAGAGACAAAAACTGATATCGTATTGCTAAGATCATATTGCACACGAATAGACATTTAAAACATATTGCGTAGGAGTAATATAGCATAAATAAAAATGATAAATAGGTTGAAATTATGAAGATATGTATACAACTATAAAACCTTAAAAACAAACAACAACAAAGCTCTCTTAAACTAATAAGTTAGCCCCTCCCCACACACTTATTTCGTATTATGTCAGCTTTGCCTTAAAAATATTTAACGATTTAGCACCTTGTACTTCATGTGGCAAGTTATTCCATGTTAAGGCCCCTCTATATTTAAA